CGAGAGCTATGTTGAAGCTTTCGAGTTGTACATGTATATATTATATATGGCTTTGCGATTTTTTAAGATGTGTCTCAGGATCACGTTTGGTGTTAGGTTAGGTTTGGTGTGGTATATACTATATATATAACTGTATATACATGTATATATATGTGTACAAATCAATACTCGGATGCTATATATCTATAGCTTTCGGGTTTCTGTGTATACATATATATATATATCAAATATTTAGTTTCGGGTTTATGGTTAAAGGTTGTCTTGGCCTTGCACTGGAGTTTCCCGGACTGCTCGCAGTGGGGTTGCACCGTTGCAGCAATATGCTTGGAAACCTGCAGGAACAAAGAGCATGCATATATACATGTAAACAAAACATATCTCTGTATATATATATATATAGATATATAAGGTACGTACACAGTGCCTGCATGCTCCCATCCACTTTTCCTATATATAGTATACCTTTTATACAGATATACATATATATATATGTATGAATCTGCAGTCAAAGTAGTGGGTCGCTCGGCAGGGCCAAGAGCTCGCCAGCAGACCCCATGGCTTCCGCCGGGAGCTCCTCGCTCTCCTGCTTGGGAAGGAAATCATATGTATCCCAGCGAGGTCTCAGTCAGGTCTTGCAGGAACTCAAAGAGCTGCCCGAGTTGCCATCTGGGACGAGTCGCCGAACACTGAAGCGGGCCCGGGATGAGAAGACTCGGAGCTACCAAACTGCTTATGGCGAGATCCTATGCGACTTCAAGTGTGTTGCCGAAACTGGTGTGGAGTTTGAATTTCCTGTCTTGAACCCAGCTGCAATGCTTGCCTGGGCGACAGAGCGATGTCGACCATTTGGCGAGTTCCTGGAGAGGGCCATGGATGCCACACCCCCCAGCATTCTTCAACCATGGGGATTGGTGTGGTATTCCGACGAGCTGGCTCCGGGCAACCAACTCAAGCACTCCAACCGGAGAAAGGTCCAGGCTGTATATTGGAGCCTGCTCCCTTTGGGACAGCATGCAATGGGTTGCGAAAATTGCTGGTTCACTCTCTGTGCCATTCGCAGCTCTCTGGTCGCAGATCTCGGCGGCATGACTGTGCTCTTCAGGCAGCTAGCAGCCTTGTTCTTTGAGAGACCTGACTTCAGAAAAGGTCTTGTGTTGCAGTGCCCTGGACAAGCACGTATGCTCTTTGCCGACTTGAAGATCATCATATCCGACGAAGCTGCAATTAAGGCTACCCTTTTCAATAAAGGAGCCAGTGGGCTCATATTCTGTGTTCAATGCCAAAACGCCGTGGACCACAAAAGCAGCATTGCTGAAAGGAGTCGGGGCAATATGGTGTCCGGCCTGGAAACCGACATGAGTTGCTTTCGGATGCACACACCCGAGTCTATACGAGACACCATGGACTTCTTGCGAAGGCAAGAGACGGTCCTCAACAAAGACAGATTCCTGCAACTCCAAACAGCAATGGGGTTCAATTTCAAAGAGGGTGGATTGCTGGCACATGCAGCATACGGGCCTCCGGTCATCGAGTGTGTGATGTTCGATTACTTCCATATCTATTTGGTCAATGGCATCTTCAATGTTCTGACGGGGTTTTTTCTTGGAGAGCTTCACAACCATGGCTGGAAGCACAATGACATTGATCGCTTCGCAAATGGTTTTACCTGGCCTTCTCGTTTGCGAGGTGCTGCTGCAAAGGATATCTTGCAGAAGCGAAAGCCAAGCGAAACCTTGAAGTGTGGAGCCAGCGAGGCTCTGAACTTTATGCAGCTGCTGCGACTCTATGTGCTAGTCTTTGTGCTGCCAAATTGCAGCAGAGATATCCGGGACTCTTGCGAGGTTTGGTTGGCTTTGTGCAAGGTGATTGATGCTTTGCAAGCGATCAATGCCAAACCTTCAGCATTTACCCCCCTGGAGTTGCAGCAGCTCATCAAAAGGCATCTCGATCTGGCGAAAAGTCGGTATGGAGATGAGTGGTGGGTGCCAAAGTGTCACTTGGCAGGCCATTTGGCGCTGCAACTGGCCAAGCATCAGGTCCTCCTCAGCTGCTTTGTGCACGAAAGAAAACATAAAATCATCAAAAAAATTTCGAATGAAATTTTGGATACAAGCAGAACCTTTGAGAGGAGCATCCTACAAGATGTACTCCATGGTCACATGGAAAGTCTGGCAGAGGGTGTATACCTCCCAGGCCAAGGAGTTCGCTTGGTCGACCCTGTGAGACCAGCTCCTGCCAGATTGCAAACAGAGATACACAACACGATCCGGGTCCAGGGTGAAGTCTTCACAGCCAGGCAGGCAGTGCATGGAGGAAACTTCACCGTGGCTGCCGGCGACTTGGCCTTGATGGATCTGGATGGGGTCACTGCCGTAGGCAAAGTGGCTTATCATGTAATGTGCGAGAAAGTTGTATGGTCGCACATTACCTTCTGGACACATGTCCATGGCTGTATGTATGAAGTCTCCGACGATTGTGGCCTCGTGCAAACCCGACTGATCCGGGCCACATGCCCTTACAGCATTTCGGGCAATGCTGCCATTGTCGCAGTCCCGCAGGTGTAAAAAAGAGAACTGCATGCGAGCTTTAAAGCCCTGCATTGCATCTCTGAGCAGCATGCTTCATGCAACTTAGATCACTTAGCTCACTTATCTTTTTCATATAAATACACTTAGCTAACCAAGTTAACTTCAACATAGCTAAGTTCAATAACTACACTTGCACATCTCATATAAGTCATTTGCTAACTGTGCCAAACAATTAACAACCTGCATATACAATTACTAACACCCCCGCCCCTTCAAGTAGGGGTGCAGGGCAGGTTGCGTGCTAGCAAGTGGTCGGCAATCTGCAAAACATCCTCGCTGTCCTGGTGAGTCCGACCAGTAGTCCTCAAAACATCCAGGGTATCGTCTTCATCTGCTGCTGGCAACGGCAGAGGATATTCTTCCAAGAGCGTATACTGAAACCTCGGCCGTGTTTGAGACGGCGGCTCAACAACCTCCATGCCTCGTAAACACAACGAACGCACAACATCACAACATTTGGCCACTGAGGCTCTCTCAAACTGTTTGTTGCTTGCCCTATTGCCCTATTTGGTAAGTTTGACAACCCCCCCCGCCCTCTGAAGCAAACAGCAGCAAGCAAGGCATGCGAGTCACAAGCTGCGAGCGAAGAATGAAGCAGGCATCCATAAACATGGCGTCGCACCCGGGTCCAACTCGTCAAAAACTCAACACATGTCCTTTGAATGAAAAGCGCTCGCAGTATCTGCGACCCTTGTTTCAAATCCTACTGTCTATTCCCTTGAAAGTCTTGTAGAAGGAATTTAAATGACGGGCTGCAACAGGCGTCCTTTCCCCCCCAGCCCCCACCCAAAGGACAGCTGTTTTGCCCTTCAAGCCGTGTGTACCACCAAAACTGGCGTCCTTTGCTTCCTTTCCGTAAACCCCCCCTCCCCCACCAAAGGACAGCTGTTTGGCCCTTCAAACCGTGTGTGCCACCAAAACTGGCGTCCTTTGCTTCAATTCCGTAAACCCCGCCTCCCCGCACCAAAGGACAGCTGTTTGGCCCTTCAAGCCGTGTGTGCCACCAAAACTGGCGTCCTTTGCTTCCTTTCCGTAAACCCCCCCCTCCCCCCACCAAAGGACAGCTGTTTGGCCCGTCAAGCCGTGTGTGCCACAAAAACTGGCGTCCTTAATTTGCTTCCTTTCCGTAAACCCCCCCTCCCCCCACCAAAGGACAGCTGTTTGGCCCGTTAAGCCGTGTGTGCCACCAAAACTGGCGTCCTTTGCTTCCTTTCCGTAAACCCCCCCTGCCCCCACCAAAGGACAGCTGTTTGGCCCTTCAAGCCGTGTGTGCCACCAAAACTGGCGTCCTTTGCTTCCTTCTTTCCTAAAGCTGCCTAAACCAAAAACCCCGCCTCCAGAGCAGCGGCGAAGCGGCTCTCTGCTGCTAGCGAAGGCCAGAGCCAAAACACTAGCAGCTAGTCGGACATGTGTCTGCCTATGTTGTTGATGGTTTTAGTTGTTGTTGTACTTTTGTCTTCGTTGTGTCTTGGTCAGTCCCTTTGACTGCTCTGTCGTCTGGCCACACGCGCCGGGTGACCGCAGTGCGCTGATTGAGCATATGCAAGTTTTCTGCTTTCTCGGACGGGTCAACTGGCTCCCCATCCATGTGGTAAAACTCAACAATCTCTTGGGTATCATGGTGCATGTGAGGGACGTAGTCCCGGAAGACTTGGCGCAACTCTCCGTTGGCACGCGCGGCCCATGTCACGAATGTGCACGCAATGAACCGCAAAATGACCGGTCCAGTCAAGTCCACCACTTCCATGGCTGTCGCACTCTATGAAGCAGAACCTGAACCCAAGACCTCGCAAACCCTGGGTCTCAAACCTAGGTCCCAAACTTTTCACTCCACATGTGCAGCTAAACCTTCAACCTGGCCATCCCTGCTCCTTCTGCCTGTCGGGCCCCTGCCTCGGCATCACAACCTGGATCCACGTTAGGGGTTCTTGTAAGGATTCCTTCAAGGGTTTGGGTTCAGGGTTTATTTTGGGTAGCAGGGCCCCTTCTTGGGAGTGTGTTTTTTTATACTTCGGGGACCCCAAACTGGACCCTGCCTAAAGGAGAGCGCGTTGCAGCGCCAGCAAAAACACAAGGAGCAAGCCGTGACTGAAAATGCCTCCGGCGTCAACAGAAAACCCTCACTTCCGACTAAATGCAGCATGCAAGAATGCTGGAATGCTCTTTGTTTTCGCTCGCCACGCCCCAGCGTAGATCACATCATCACTTCGGCTTGGCTGAAGCATAGGCATTTTTATCAAAGGACATCAATTCTGGAGATTATGAGGTCGCAGAGCCTAAAAGCGATGTCTTTTGCTGTTGCCAAGAGCAAGCTGTCAAGCCCAAACCAAAAGACATCAGTTTTGGAGCTCTTCAAGCCTTAGGGGACGAAAGCCACGTCCTTTGCTTTTGCTTGAAACCTTCCCCCGACCCTCAAAGGACATCAATTCTGGAGATTATGAGGTCGCAGAGCCTTAAAGCGATGTCTTTTGCTTTTGCCAAGAGCAAGCTGTCAAGCCCAAACCAAAAGACATCAGTTTTGGAGCTCTTCAGGCCTTAGGCGACGAAAGCCACGTCCTTTGCTTGAAACCCTCCCCCAACCCCCAAAGTTGTCCCAAAGAGCAAATGAGGTGTGCTTGGGGGCACAGGAAAAAATCGAGAACATCTCTCTGCAGCCGACTGGCTTCACTGCGAGACCCGCTGCCCCACTCACGCTCGGCGGAAGCGTAAACTTTCTCAGCCAGGCTATCGTTCTGTTCTGCCTAAGTGCTTCTGCCTCTTCCCGATTCCGCTGCAGCAGCCCAGACCTCAACCCCGTCACAAGCCGCAAGTCGGACAGGCCCACGCCAGTCCTGTTGGCATGGGTCGCAAAGGTCGAAGCATCTGTGAACAAGCACGAACCATACTCTTCGAATGCTGTGTGGAGGACTGCAATCGCGGACTTGCTCACATGCATCCGGGTTGGAGCACTGTCTTCGACATCTTTGAGCAGAACTGTCTTTCCGTCAGAGGCAAGACCGCTGAAGTGTCTCTGGAACGCCTCCTCAAAGACCTCTTTGCACAAGCGCTCAAACGGCTGCTTCGGAACGCAGAGCTCCACGTTCTTCCAAGCCTTAGGAACGCTCCTGTCCTTCACGCTCACCTTGCTTTCACCCTTCTTCCTGGGCCCGCCCCGCTTGGGGGTTGGAAGGAGGTTTGCAAGGGCAACAGCCTTTTGGACTGCCTTTTCGTGGGGGGCACTTGTGCTGTCCAGGCTTGTCACAGCCGCTGTTGCTTCAAGGTTGCTGGGGTGCGGAGGCTCAGCAATCTCTCTGGCTTGCGCACCGAGGACATCCTCACTCAGGACGTTGTCTGCGGCAGGCACCACGGACGCAGAAGCCCATGCAAGCCAACAAGGTTTCAAGAAAGACAGGCCTCCAAAAGACGTCGGACCAAAGTGGCCTTGTTTCCCGAGGTCCTCTTGCCAAGCTTGCTGAGGCGTTCCTTCAACTTCGCGACAGTGAGCTTGTCGAGCTCTGCCTGCCCACACGTGCTGGCTGGCCCCCAACAACTCACAACAGCCTGGGTATGTTTGTCCATGTCCACTTCTCTCTGCCAAAAAATCACCATAACTAAATCTATCTGTATCTGTGTGTGTGTCTTACTCATGTCACACGTATGTGCATTTGCATCTATATATCCACGTACTATGTCTATGGACTAGACCTCTGGGTTTGTGTTTATGCTTATATGTTCACATAGAATCATACTGCCCTGAACAACAACCCCCCCGGCCCGCCAAGCACCGAAGAGGACTGTAGAGCCCCACAAGCAGAAACCCACGAACTGCACAACCCAGTGGTCTGGAGCCTTCCAAATAACTGCGCGAAACATATTTGGGTATTATGCTACCTATGTGCTTGTCATTATGCTCAAGTGTCTACATGGAAACATACCGCCCTGAACAGCCCCCCCGGCCCGCCAAGCACCGAAGAGGACTCTAGAGCCCCACAAGTTGGAACCCACGAACTTCACAACCCAGTGGCCTGAAGACTTCCAAAGAACTACACAAAACATATTGGGGTATTATGCCTGTAAATGTCCAAACATGCTTCACAGAAAGAAACCTTAGTCGGCTACGGCTGTTGTTCCGCAAGCAAGCACAATCCAGCCAGAAGAGGAATTTCCAGCACTAAAGTCGTACAACAAGCAAGCACACAATCCGGTGGGAGCCGAAACGAAGCATTTTTAGCACTAAAGTTGTAGTACAAGCAAACACACAATGCAGCGGGAGCCCAGCCAGGTGGCAGGTGGTGGCAGGTGGCAGCAGGTGGTGGCAGGTGGTGGCAGGTGGTGGCAGGTGGTGGCAGGGTGGCAAGTGCAGTCCGTGTTTGAACGGACTTAGTGTGTATTTTGCACGGATTTAGCGTGCATTTGGGTATTCATAATGCGTAATTGAAAGGGTTTAGTGTGTATTTGCACAGATTTGGTGTGTATTTTGTGTGTGTGCGCGGATTAAATGTGTATTTGCACGGATTTAGTGTACGGTTTGCATGGATTCCGTGTGTATTTGCACGGACCTAGTCTGCGTTTGCGCGGATTTAGCACGTATTTGCAAGGATGCAGTGTAGTGTTCGGGCATATGGCAATGGGAAAGTGGGGATGGTTGGGAGGTTTTGCTTGTGCTTTTGGCGGTTTTTGGTCGTTTCAAAATTTCGATTCCGGTTGGGGAAAAGGGCCAAATGACCCCGCCGGAGATTGAGCCCGCGACCCTGCCCAATGCATGGATGAAGGCGGCCACCCGCAAAATCAACGAGCCGAACCATAGCTCAGTGGTTAAGCAAATGGTTTACAGCACCTCCCAGCGCATATCAGCGGTCTCGGACTCCGGGGCCGTTATTTGGGCTCTTGGACTAACCAAATTCGAGATTTTGGGTGGCTAAAAGCTTTGCAAAGACCAGGTGTGGCAGGTGGCAGGGCAGATGGCAGGCAAGTGGCAGAGCGGGCCCACTGCTGCCGCTGGTGCTGCGACTACTGACATCAAAGGCAACTAGTGGCAAATGTGTGTGGCAGTGGTAAACTGGTGGCATTGGCAATTGGTGGTGGCAGTGGTAACTGCTGGCAGTGGCAACTAGTGGCAGTGGCAACTTAGCAGTCGGGAACTGGTGTGGTAATTGGCAGGCACGTGGCATGTGGCAGGTAGGTGGCAGGCAGGTGGCAGATGGCACACAGGTGGCAGATGGCAGGCAAGTGACAGGTAGCAGACAAGCAGGCAAATGGCAAGTGGCAGGCGACAGGCAGGTGGCAGGTGGCAGGTGGCTGGTAGGTGGCAGCAGGGGCCGCAACGAGGGATTTCCAGCACGGAAAGCCGAGCGGTGCATTTCCAGTCCGAAAGTTGTTCTACAAGAAAACACACAATTCAGCCAAGAGTCGAAACGAGGCATTTCCAGTACTAAAGTTGTACTACAAGCAAGCACAATCCAGCCAGGAGCCGAAACGAGGCATATCCAGTACTAAAGTTGTACCACAAGCAAGCACAATCCAGCCAGGAGCCGAAGCGAGGCGCTTTCCAGTACTAAAGTTGGGATCGATAGATAGATAGATAAATAGAAAGATAGACAGATAGAGAAATAGATAAATAAATGCTTGTGCTTGCCTGCGGGAGTGCTGAGGCGAGCTTCTCGTCAGCTGGTGCCTGCGCGAAAAGGCACGAGCAACCAACGGGTTCAGCGGTTCAGGCATACAAACATGACCGATGTTCACATCCTGAGAGAATCACTACTGACACCAGGAAAAGCACCATGCAGAGCAGGAGACCTGCAGCGGCACAACCGGATCGGGATCGCTGAAAAGGCCGGCATCTTCCTGGCAGGTGTGTGTGCGTCGCTAACAATAGCATCGAAGCTTGGATCCGTCCGAAGTTGTTCTACAAGAAAACACACAATTCAGCCAAGAGTCGAAACGAGGCATTTCCAGTACTACATTTGCACTACAAGCAAGCACAATCCAGCCAGGAGCCGAAACGAGGCATATCCAGTACTAAAGTTGTACCACAAGCAAGCACAATCCAGCCAGGAGCCGAAGCGAGGCATTACTAAAGTTGGGATCGATAGATAGATAGATAAATAAAAAGATAGACACATAGATAAATAGATAAATAAATGCTTGTGCTTGCCTGCGGGAGTGCTGAGGCGAGCTTCTCGTCAGCTGCTGCCTGCGCGAAAAGGCACGAGCAACCAACGGGTTCAGCGGTTCAGGCGTGCAAACATCGGGCCTCTTTCTCGTCAGTGTCAGCTACTGCCTTCACACATGCCCACATGTAGTGGCATTCCACATCACAAACTGAGTAAGCTGCGTGCTTGCCTCGGGGAGTGCTACGGCGAGCTTCTCGGAGTCAGCTGCAGCCTGCGCGAAAAAGCGCGAGCAACCAACGGGTTAAGGCATCCAGACATGAGGCCTCTTTCTTGTCAGTGTGACATGCTGCCTGCACACATGCCCAAACATGCTGGCATTCCACATCACAAGTTTTGCGCTTGCAAGTGAGCCGAAGCAAAGAAACCAAGGACACCGCGGCACGAGGTAGTGGTCGGCCGGCGAGCGGGGACTTGAACCGTGCACGTTTGGACGCAGGGCGAAGCTCCTGTTTTGCAGCCGAATCAAAATCAAGAGACTGCATGGTGTTTTGAAGCTTTGGGGGCGGTGCTTTTGGGGGTGCTGAGGCTTACAAGAAATCTGGAAGAGGTTCAGAGCTGTAATGGGCTCCTTGAAGAGCTCTTCTGCGACCGGCTGGCGCTTATCCAAGTTAATGATTCCTGGCATGGGTTAAAATAAGCATCATTGTAGGCGAAATGCGACATGCTGAAAGAGCTGACAGTACCGGAGTACCGCGGAAACGCTGAGAACACATTACTTTTGCAGCTTCGTCCGTCGCTTCAAGAAGAAAAGATGACATTCTGCGTCGGGCGGCCGAACCACCTAGGCCCTGTAAACCCTACGACCCCAAGGCTTAACTAACCCCCAAACCCCGGCCCCGAACCCTAGACCAGCACCAAAAGTCTGAAGCACTCAGGCCAGACGTCGTCTGCGAGCTGGCGGCTCAGCGTCCTCCTCGGAATCGTTGTCCACCCGAGGGCCTGGTCTCACAGCCAGCGCGGGCTGGCACAAGACCAACTGCGGATTTGCAGGATTTCCAAAGCTGCGAAGCAATGCACACAAGCTCCTCGCCAAGCGAAAAGCCAACAGGTACAGTGAGGTTGACGAGGCTCTGCATGTGGAATGGCCACCAAGCAAAATCTGTTCCAGACCTCTAAACGGCAGCAAGGCAATCCGATGTGGAGATTGGAGCTTTGTATCCTACGGCCTAGCCTTGTGATAAGAAATTTAATAAACCAGAAATGAAACACTGGCCGGCCTAGAAATAAACCACCCGCAAAATCTCAAACACCTGGTTGGGGAATTTGAAAGCATTCGACAGACCACTGCACTGTGCCCGACTTGCCTGCAGTTAAAGTTGGGAAGTCAAACGATAAAAATAGAACAATAGATTGCTGTTGGGATGCCTTCCCATCCATCCATCCACCCACCCAAATCCCCTCAGAGCCCGCATGGGTTCAACAAGGCTCCACGGTGTTTTGGATGCAAACCCCAAACCCCAAAAGGGACAGGTTGCTAAAGAAGGGATTGGTGAGTATCAGCGGGAATGGATATGGTCTGATCTGGACGTTATCATGGTTGGCACATGGATGCTCTGCGGAAATGGATATGGTCTGATCTAGACATGGTTGGCGCCTGGATGCTCTGCGGGAATGGATATGGTCTGATCTAGACATGGTTGGCGCCTGGATGCTCTGCGGGAGTGGATATGGTCTGATCTGGACGTTATCATGGTTGGCACATGGATGCTCTGCGGGAATGGATATGGTCTGATCTGGACGTTATCATGGTTGGCACATGGATGATCTGCGGGAATGGATATGGTCTGATCTGGACGTTATCATGGTTGGCACATGGATGCTCTGGGGGAATGGATATGGTCTGATCTGGACGGGTTGGCACATGGATGCTCTGCGGGAATGGATATGGTCTGATCTAGACATGGTTGGCGCCTGGATGCTCTTCGGGAATGGATATGGTCTGATCTAGACATGGTTGGCGCCTGGATGCTCTTCGGGAATGGATATGGTCTGATCTGGACGTTATCATGGTTGGCACATGGATGCTCTGCGGGAATGGATATGGTCTGATCTAGACATGGTTGGCGCCTGGATGCTCTGCGGGAATGGATATGGTCTGATCTGGACGTTATCATGGTTGGCACATGGATGCTCTGGGGGAATGGATATGGTCTGATCTGGACATTATCATGGTTGGCACATGGATGCTCTGCGGGAATGGATATGGTCTGATCTAGACATGGTTGGCGCCTGGATGCTCTGCGGGAATGGATATGGTCTGATCTGGACGTTATCATGGTTGGCACGTGGATGCTCTGCGGGAATGGATATGGTCTGATCTAGACATGGTTGGCGCCTGGATGCTCTGCGGGAATGGATATGGTCTGATCTGGACGTTATCATGGTTGGCACATGGATGCTCTGCGGGAATGGATATGGTCTGATCTGGACGTTATCATGGTTGGCACATGGATGCTCTGCGGGAATGGATATGGTCTGATCTAGACGTTATCATGGTTGGCACATGGATGCTCTGCGGGAATGGATATGGTCTGATCTAGACATGGTTGGTGCCTGGATGCTCTGCGGGCATGGATATGGTCTGATGCGGACGTTTTCATGGTTGGCACATGGATGCTCTGCGGGCATGGATATGGTCCAATGGAAAGGTTGCCCAAATTTGTACTTGGATTCGAAGAGTGATACATTCCATTCAGCTGGGATGAGTATTTCTCATCTGAGCAAGTTGATCCGATGCAGTTAACTGTGATAGGCACATCTGACGAAGTTGATTCAGCAAAGTATGTAGCAAAGTATATGTTGAAACAAGGCTGATACCAAGAAAGTTAAACAAAGTACGTTATTATCCCCCCCCGCTTCGCCCTCTCCCCCCCCTTTCCCCAGCAATGGCACTACCAAGCCAAAACGTAGGCGCAGTTATCCCCCCATGTGCATAAAGTTCGACCGTAGAACACAACACAAAAAGGCTTCATTTCAGAAGGGACACCTGGCGCAGGGCTTGGAGACTCATGCGGGGGGGCTCGCCCGCGGCCTCCAAAACAAAGCCCTCGGCCTGCCACTTTTGCAACAGCTGCGCCTCAGTCTCTTGACCCAGGAGGTCATACAACTTGCGCGGATGAGGCACTGCCACTGGCTTGCCCACCGCCATGCACAAAAACGTCTTGTTGGCCATGTCCAAACGCTGAATTGAAATGCCTTGACGGACACTTTGCTGTTGGCAACAATGGTGTGAATGCTGGGAAAGTAGGTCTGCAACCCTCCCGGGCGTCGAATCGTTTGACCGTCAGCCAACATCCAAGGGTCCGGCGTCTGTGGTCGTTGCAAATGAAGCCCGCCACGAGTTGCCATCAAAGTCCTAATAGAAACTAGGGGCATGAGTTCTTTGACAACAGTCACCCGGAAGCGGCGCTAACCAAATTTTGGGCCCCGGTCCTCACACCCTTGTCGCACTTGGCAAGCTCCGCCGTCAGTGGCTGGGACCAAATCCGCAAAGTTCGCCTGAGCGCCTGGATGAGGTCCATGTGGGTGCGGACTTCCCGAGGTGCCAAAAGGCAGCGCCAGGCTTGCTCCGCCGTCTGTTGCGACGCAGGAAGTCCTGGCAAGGATCTCCCTGCCACACCGCAATGCCACGATGCTGTGTACAGCGGCTGTTCCTGGAACAGCTCCTCCTTGATGTAGCGTTGAAAGAAGTAATTCGCAAACTGCGGGTCTGGCCAGTGCTCCATTCTCCTTCGCGTGACCTTCCAAAAGAGGTGAAAGGAGAGCATGGTCGGTACAAACATGCTCTCGGAGACAATGCGGAGGAAAACGCCAATGGGGCGCGAAGTCAGGTGAGGCGGAATGGCACGTTCTGGGCCCTGCTCAATGGGGAGCGGCTGCTCAGCCGCCACACCACGCCGTCGCCCGCCGCCCCCTTGTCCACGTCCCCGAGCAGCCCTGCTTCGCCGTCTCCGTTGCACACCGCGAGCCTGCGCAGTGCCGCTGTTGTGGTTGCGCCTTATGGCACGTCTGGCATGCTCAATATCCCTTGCCGCAGTCGGCAGCCTGGTAGGCTGGCTCGAACGATTGCGGGAAAGCCTGGAAACCAATCTGTGTGCAGCTGCTTCGGTGGCGCCATGCCACGTCTGTGAAGCTCTTCACGAAAAACGTCCACGACCTCCTGGCACGCCTGCAAGTGCTGCAGAAACAAAAAGCCGTCCGCCAGATTCGAGCTCCGAAACCCGCCAAAGGACATCAGTTTTTCGAGCTTAGCAGGTCTCAAAGCACTCAAGCGATGTCCTTTGCTTTTTGCTTCCGCCCGCAAACCCCCTCCTTAACCCCATAAACCTTGCATTTGCGGCAAAACGCTTGGCTTGTGAACATGGGCAACCTGCTTGGAAACGGATCGCTGCCTCGTTGTCTTCGTTGCCCGGCCACATGGCCAGGATAAGTGGCCAGAAAGACCTTCGCCACCTGCGGTTATGAATCTGACACCTAGTCCATTAGGGCACAGGGCTTGTATACGAGGAACTACAAGATGCCCAGGCAGGTATAAGGGTATTGAGAATTGAAACTGCGACCGGTGGCTTTTGAAGTTGACGGCTTATCCATGAGGCCACAATGACTTGGAGCTCAGACTTACAAAAGAATACACTCCCTCTATCTTGCACAGCCCCGCCTTCCTCCCAGGCATCTGCGCACTATCACTGACAGCATGATGACATGGTTGGCCATCCTCTTGATCTTATAAGTTGCGTCGGTTGTGGCAGCCCAAGCCTGCTACGACTGGCAACTGGCAACAGAAACCGATGAACCGTACCCAAAAGCCAAAACCTACCAAGTCAAGCCAGGTCGCCACATCCAGCAGGGGTTCTGGAAGAAGTTCCTCTAGCTTCTCCCAAAAACGGACGCACCAGCAGGACCCACCGCACCTCTGGGCGGATTTCATATCGCGCAACACGAAGATCAGCTTCGTAGTCATTGCTGCTTGCAACAGCCCAAGCCTCGAACTCAGGAATGTTGGCTTGCCACTCCGACGTGTTCGCCCCAAACTGTCGCCTTCGCTGTCTCAAGATGGCAGCGATGTGCTTTGGCTCAATCAAGCGTTTCAGCTGGGCCGCCACGTTGGTAGGGGTGCAGGGCACGTTGCGTGCTAGCAACTGGTCGGCAATCTGCAGAACATCCTCGCGGTCCTGGTGAGTCGGACCAGTACCACAAGCCACTGTTGGACGTAGCACACGCTCTTCTCCCGAGCATCTGCCACTGGTCCAAACCGAAAGAATGTAGGTTCGCAGATTCTCTGCATGGCCACCATGGAACTTAAAGTGACGGCCCTTGCCTGCATGGCAATCGGTGTGCTTTACACACTTCCCAACCAAGACATAGCCTTTGGACGTCCATTGGGGCGATCGGAAATCGCCAAGTTTTCGACCCCTGTCTTTGGCCCAACGGAAGACGCTAGTCCTCAAAACATCCAGGGGATCGTCTTCATCTGCTGCTGGCAACGGCAGAGGATATTCTTCCAAGAGTGTGTACTGAAACCTCGGCCGTGTGATAGACGGCGGCTCAACAACGTCCATGGCTCGTAAACACAACGAACGCACAACATCACAACTTTTGGCCACTGAAGCTCTCTCAAACTGTTTGTTGCTTGCCCTATTGCCCATTTTGGTAAGTTTGACATCCCCCCCCCCTCTGCAGCAAACAGCAGCAAGCAAGGCATGCCTGTCTCAAGCTGCGAGCGAAGAATGAAGCAGGCATCCATAAACATGGCGTCGCACCCGGGTCGAACTCGTCAAAAACTGAAGACATGTCCTTTGAATGAAAAGCGCTCGCAGTATCTGACGAACCTCGTTTCAAATCCTACTGTCTATTCTCTTGAAGGTCTTGTAGAGGGAATTTAAATGACAAGCTGCAACAGGCGTCCTCCCCCCCCCTCCCCCCCCCCAAAGCACAGCTGTTTTGGCCTTCAAGCCCTGTGTGCTACCAAAACTGGCGTCCTTTGCTTCCTTTCCCCTCCCCCCCCCAAAGGACAGCTGTTTTGGCCTTCAAGCCCTGTGTGCTACCAAAACTGGCGTCCTTTGCCCCCCACCCCCTCCCCCCCCAAAGGACAGCTTTTGTCCTTCAAGCCCTGTGCCAAAACTGGCCCCCCCCCTCCCCCGTTGAGATGTAACCTGGACGTGTATCCCCTCGCTAGGCGTACAGGAACACAGGCACTCAGGTGTCTCTTTTGCTACAGGCGCACAGCTGTAGTCCACTGCACTAGAACCTTGAGCAACAGGCATGGATACATGCAAGTGATACGTGAAACAGACAGGCACCTGGATGTGTAACATTCAGTGTTTCAACCAGGCACAAATTTAAAACACGTAGAGCTGCATGGCCGTGGAGTCGGCATTCAACTAGCCTGTTATTGCTCTCGGTCGAATTAGCGGAGTATTGAGCTACATCTGCGACTTGAAGAGAATCTATACATCTCTCACCTGAAGACAGCTTCAATGAAAAGAGCAGAACACGCACGAAAACGCAAACGGATCTTCAACTGAAAACTTTTGCTTGAAAGTTGCCCACTTGTGTTCAGTTTCCTCTCCAGGCGGAAAGCTTACTGTCACATAAAAGATTGTAGAGCTTAGCTCCACTTGATGCCAGCATGACATCTTGCGACACGGCAAATATATAAGGGCATGAGAAGTATCTTATCCTGAGATAAGTATCTTCTTTCTGACAAGGTCTTTAAGGAAGTACCTCTTCATGAGAAAAGCATCTTCCTATGAAATGGCGAATGCTCAAACTGGATACCTTCTTATGAAAGAAGCATTCCGTGAAACACTCACTCCACTTCTTCCATCGGACCTTGGTTCATCACCCTCTGGTTGTACTGCTCCACCCTACGACGAGTACGAGGACTGTCATCAGGATGAGGCAAATGGTGGTGAGGGTAGTACCATCTCTCCAAATGCCAGTGAAAAAGCTGCAGGCGAAATGGGAACCACGGTCTATCACCAAAGGATGCTGGGCCAGGACCAACGTCTTCGTCAGGAACGTCAACGTCTGCGTCCTCGCCCTCATCTGAACCTAGTCAGTTTTTGCCCTTGGCCTTGCCTTTGGACTTGTCCTTGGTCTTGCCCTTGGACTTGCCCTTGTCGGCGTCCTTGCCTTTTCCTTTGGAGGGCCTTCCTTGCCACCAGGAGGTTGTGCGGGTTCTTGAGGACGTTGAGAACCAGAAGCTTTAGCACCAGAAGCTGCCTCTTCCTGAGAAGAGCTTGCTCCCTGTGGTGCGGCTGCAGGACCAGTAGAACCAGAACCACGCGCCTTGTTCAGCTTCTGTCTCTCTTTTCTTCTGTCCGCGGCTTCCTTCATGGTGTCGGGATTGCGGTTGAGCGCTCTCATCCTGCCTCCAGAGTACTGGTTCGCGTGAACCTCGATGAGGAGCGGAGTGTGAGCGTCATAGTCCCGATCGTTGAGAAGGTACGCGGCGCTGGTGGAGTTTAACAGCCACTCAGAGACATGGATGTCGAACTCAGTCTTTGAAGACGGAAACTCCGCCCATTGATCGTCCGACATGCTGTGTCCCCATTCCATGACTGTAGCCATAACAGGATCCAAACCAGGAAAAGTATTCCAGTCTGGTTGCTTAGCTTCCTTGTATGGCATTCCCAGCGTGTCCTCATACTGCTTCAGAAGCCACATGGCGTTTGCTGACACATGTCTCGCACGAGGCGAACAGAAGTGTGGGCACTTTGGGCTTTCTGACCAGGCCTCCAAGAAGTAGTCGAGAAGGCTTTGGTACATCCCGCCACGAATATCCATCGACTCCTGCTTTCTGCCGGTGGCCCGGTAGAGGGCCATGTTGGCGTCGCCACCGATGAGGTCGACTTGGTAGTGCAAGCAGTCGATGAACATGTTGCCCAACACTTCATGAGCCAACGCCACCTTGTCTGCCGCCGCGTCGTTGTGGAGGTGGAAGACACAAACTCTGAGCCGGTCGGATCCAGCTCGCTCCAAGACCTTGGTCAGTGACTCATCTGGAACATCACCACGACTGCCCTGGAGACCGGTCGGTAACGTCATGCCATACACGATTTCCGCGACCATATAGGTTATTGGAAGGGACTCGTGGGCATATCCACTGAGAGTGGAGCCGGCAAGACGGGTGATCGAAGATCCGACACCATTTGTACGACTTCCCACCATCAGGTCCTTGGACTCGTTACGCAGGAATTGCCACCCGCGTGACTTGAGGAAGGCTTCCTCGGAGTCATCGATTGTAGTCGCTTCGCAGAGCATAAACAAATGCGTCTTCGACTGTGCAATCGATTTTATCAAGGCTCCTTTATTAGCGTCGTCCCAGTCAATGTGATTAGCAACGGAGCTAGGAGCGGAACGCTTTCTTCCCCTGCTCATGTTGCCGAGATTGAGGATGAGCGCGGCGTACTTGGTCTTGCTGGTGAAGATAGGGACATTGGAGTCCTCTGCCAGACCAAAACGATGTATATAAGGATTCGGCATCTTCTCAAGAGAGAGGTCCCCGATCTCCTCTTCATCGACTCCGGTGCTCAAGAAGTAGTGAAGCATAGCATTCAAGAGTTCTTCTCGAGTTGCCGGATTGCCGCTTGCATCCAAGGACTTCAGCTTATCAAGAAGTGCTTCCATAACCTCCAATGCTGATTCTCGGATGTCAGAGGCCTTGCCCATGAGCTTGTCGTCCAAGGTGCTACGAACGTCCCCAGAACGAAAAACAACGTCCTTTTTGTCGGGACGGCGCTCATAGATGGGATCCATCTTGTTGAGTTGGTTGAATAGATCCACCATAGAAAGAGAGTATTTCTGTCCCTTGTGGTTCGGAACATTTACCCTCCAACTCATATGCTGCACCTTGTAGGCGAGAACGGGCTCGTAATCAGGATCACGAAGTCCTGTATGATACAAGCCTGAATAGCCATATCCATGCAACTGCTTGCAGAGCAGCCGCATAGGGCTTTGTCGTTCGATTTCGGTGAGCTGCTTAAGGAAATGTTTGAACTCTTCGAGATCAACGAGCTCGATCTTTTCCTTTGCCTTGCCCATCTTGTCGAACGCGTTCTCATTCTGGTCCTCTGCATCCTTCGCGGCCTGGTAGTACTCAGGATCCGGAACAGTCTTACATTTCCCCCAGATGCCTTGATCGTGAAGTTCACTTTCATCATCCTTCTCGGGAGAAATGTCTGGCATGGATTCCTCACCCTGTGGTGAGCCTTCCTCAGCCATTTCGATGTTCTCGGACTTACCTCCTTCCTGACCCATGTGCTCATCAGATTCGACCTTTACCTCGGATCCCTCTCCATGTGGAGAGCCTTCCTCAGCTTCGGTCTTCTGCTGTGTGACATCAGCCCCAGATACCTCCCCCTGTGGAGAGCCTTCCGGAACGTCTGTCTCCATTGGCTCGACTGTAGCCTCAGGTACCTCTCCCTGTGGAGAGCTTCCTGGAGCATCAGTCTCCATTGGCACATCGGTCGGCTCGGTCTTAACCGGATCAACCTTCTTGCCCTGTGGCAAGTCCGTGGATCCAGACGACGGTTCGGAGGTATCCATCTGAGTAGCCGCGGGAGGCTCCTCGATCTCCTCGATCTGTGGACATGGGAGTCGCTCGATGAACTCCTCGATCATAATGTCGTCATATGGTCGGGTGAGGAGCTCATTCAGCTCAGACTCCTTCTTCGCCTTCAAGTCTTCGTACGCCACCAAGTCAGCTTTTGCCTTGCGGGCGAAAGCTGATTTGAAATCGCGCTGGTCAGACTCAGCGAAGACTTTCTCCAGAACCGCCAGGAGGTAGCTGCCGTTGAACGGCTGCTTCAGGGTACTGTCGTAGAGACAATAGCCCTCAGGGGTTCGCACCGTGTATTTACGGCGAACCTCCAGATCACCGGCGTGGCGCTGGATGTAGGAGAAGAAGTCCACTCCATAAGCCTCATTGATGACGCGGACGAGCATCTGGAAATCCTCTCGCACATAGCCAACCTCTTCATACACATACCTTTCCCTGAGGAAAGCCTTGTGTGCGGCGAGCTTGCGAGAGTAGTCGGGATCCTCTGTCCTTGGCATCTTTGCACGAGAGTCATTGTCCCGAGGGCGATCGAATCCAATGTTACCCACGTTGGGCCTGAATTCGTTCGACGCGGCAACGGAGACATCGTCCAGCATCTGGGCAAGACCGCCAGGATGACGCTTAAAGTTCATCCAAGGTGACGTGTAACCGTTGGAGTAAACCTTCGGTTTCTTGTCCAGCTCCACGAGGTAGTTCCCCTGCAACTTCCCCATCTCGAAGGCCTTGAGGAAGAAGTGCAGGGAGTACCCCGAAAGAGGATGCTGCAACCACGATGCCCAATCGTATTCACCACCCAAAGACTCTCTCATAGAAGTAGTCAAAGTGTGCCAGGGGGTGACCTGAACGAGGGCATCGCCATAGGTGCTAAGCATCGGCTGGCCAGAGGAGTCCACCATGTGCAACTTGCCGTGGGCGAAGAGATGCCATGGATTCGTCCTGGCCTTGCGGAGAACCTCGTTGAGCTCCTCCTGCTGCTGGGACTTATGCGCATCAATC